TTTGAATTTCAATGACAAAATTTGAACATTTTTTACTCCACATGTATGGGTGTAAAATATTTTTTTTATTTTTTGGTATATAATTATCATAAAATATATATTAAAATTTAACAAATATAATTTATCTATCAATTTTCAACAAGTTATTTTATACGTATCGTTCAATAGACTCGACCTCAATCTTAATTTTGACATCTGACGAACACTGAATAAGTAAAATTAAAAAAAAATTTACCTGAAAAAAAAATATAATAATTTCTAAATAAAATATTTTACATCAAAACAAACACACCTAAATGAAATTCATTAACCAAAAGACCAAATTTTACGCGGGAAAGATTAGATGACATCACAGTTAATTTTAACTAAACATGCTATAAGTTCAAGTTTACATGAAAAAAGCATATACATATATATATATACATACATATATATATATATATATATGCGTGAATAAAAGAACACGATGATGAACTTCAAAAAAAAATAAAATAAAATAAAATAAATAAATAAAAAAAAAAGGGTGTTGTCTATGTTGGGTCTACCAAACCACGGCAATATGACCACCAATGTTTGTGATGGAAAAGGAACCATTTTGGTAACAAGACCCCACCACTCTGTCCAGTGTGTCCACGCAACCTTATACACAAATAAACACAGATTTATTTCCTTCTTTGCTTTTGGATAACATTTTTATGGATTTATCGCCCCCACCTCTCTCTCTCTCTCTCTCTCTCACACACACACACACACATGCATTGATAGACATATGTATTCACATGTGCAAATTCCATGTATATATATATATATTTTTCAACAAGTAAACATTATCCTTAGAGAAAATAATAAATAATAAATGTTCAGAAATGATAATTTCAACAAGTATTTTTTTCTTTTTTCTATAATCAGGGTATTCAGGGTTTTTCAACAAGTATTTTTACCTCATTATAATAAAAAAAAAATTTTAAAAAAAATCACATATTTTATTATAAGAGTCAAAATTATCGGACTTTTGCTTGAAACTTTTAAAAAATAAATTTAAATTTAAAACCAATTGAATTCAAGATATATATATATATACTTGAAACTAACATGTGTTTGAACACCTTACCGAAAAGAAAAAAAAAAAGAATTAAACGTGTGTGTATTTTTATGAGTAAGCCAAAAGGCACTTGTCACAACTCCTCAAAGAAAATAAAGTGAAAAGCTTATTACGTATAAAACTTACAAAACTCATCACTCCCTCCCATATAGCAAAAAAAACCAATCCCCACCCTCTTTCAATGTATACAGGTGTTTATATATATATATATATAAGCAGAAGCAAATTTTCTAGGCTCTACACACAAAAATAAAACCAGAAGCAATTGAATCTTGTTCAACTTGTACCATTCAGTAATTTCATTTATGTTTCTTTCATTACATGTATCACTTAATTTTCTAGATCCATAATATATATATATATATATTGGGAAAATTTGTGTCAAATTTCAATACAAATTTGGACAAAATCAATATGAGCTTGGATCGCGTATCGAACCATACAACCAATCATGGTGTGTGTGTATATATATATATATATATTTCAACTAAGTCTACTAGCTACAGTCTACATGCTCATCCTTTGGACTACATTTTTTTGTTTTTGTATTTTTTTTCAAGCAAATACGTTGGATTCAGATTTCATGGTGGTGGGCGTGAAAGACAAGAGATGCTTGTTCTTTCAACGGAACCCTTAATATTTTGTGATGAAGGACAAAGAAAGAGATTGCTTACTCAATAGCACTTGATTTGAGAGATCTACAGAGAGATTTCCTCTTTGTGGAAAAATAAAGGTTTTTGAGTACAAATAATATCAATCAATCAATCAAATGGACAAAAGAAAAAAGAGGCAACCACCCCACCTATTTGGTAATTTCATCCTAACCAAACATGGAATATTCTTACTGCATAGTGGATTTCTAAGAGAGGGGATATATCATATATGGTAGGGTGGTCCCTGTGTCAACACAAATGTTGTGTTTGGTAGGAGTGATAGAAAATTGAATAGAAGGGAGGAGAGGAATACATGGATGGTGTCCATCTTTCCTTTGTTTGATTGGATGAAAACAAAGTAAATGAATATTATTATTTAACTAGTACATTTTTCAATGCTTAAATTAAAGGGTAAATTTCATTTAACTCCCTTTATAATTTTACATTTCTCTACTGCACAGTGACGGCCACCAACTTAATAATGGTATTGTGTTATTTTACCATTTTGTCCATAAAATATCTATCATTATTTCAGGCATTTAAAAAAGTAAAACTAATATTTTATTAAATTTAAGCCACTAACATCAGCAGATTCTATTTGTCTCCATCAAGTCTCTCGAGTAGAATCCATTATAATAATGTCAATCAATCAATCAAATGGACAAAAGAAAAAATAGGCAACCACCTCACCTATTTGGTAATTTCATCACAACCAAACTTGAAATATTCTTACCTAAGTGGATTTCTAAGAGAGGGATTATATCAAATGTTGTAGTGTGGTCTCCCTTTGGTAGGAGTGACAAATTGAATAGAAGAGAGGAGAGGAATACGTGGTTGGTGTTCATCCATCTTTCCTTTGTTTGATTGGATGAAAACAAAGTAAAAGAATATTACCTATTATTTAACTAGTACATTCTTCAATGCATATATCAAAGGGTAAATTCCGTTTAATTCTCCTGAACGTTTTATAATTTCACTTTCCTCCACATATTTGCAGTCATTTCAAGCATTAAAAAGGTAAAACTGACATTTTATCAAAAAAAAAAGTAGTAAAATTTATCCTAAAACATTAAAGTAAGGGTAAGAATGTCTTTTCAAATTATTTTTATCTAATTAACTCTTTCTCCTCCCCTTTCTACGTTTGGATGACAGCAAAATGTCGAGTAGAAAGGATATCCCTCCATCTTTCCCTTTCTCCAGCTCTCCCTCCTAAGGAACGAAAGAGACCCTTATCTCATCTTTTTCTCTCGTCCTTTCTACCGAAACAAACATAATAGTCAAACTTTTTCATGTTTTTTTCCATCATGATTATCTCCAATGATCCAGGTCCTTCACATCAAAAGGTGTTCTTTCATTGCCAAAGAAGAAAAAAATAAATAAATAAATAAAAAAAAACAAGTCCAACTCATACATCACAAAAATCTCTTTATGCAAATTCAATATCTTCCTATCATTCAAAAAAACAGACCCTCCAATCAAACCCATGCCATTGGTGCATGTCCTTTTGTTTTCCACAACACTACTGCTTTCTCATATGCAATCTCAAGAAAAAGCACAAGAATCTAACATTTTTTTGTTTTTGACCTCACCAACCAACTCAATCAATTTGATAGTAGATAATTGCAATGTATGTGTCAGGAAACAAATGGAATTCCTTTTTTTTTTTTTTTTTAAGAATTTTGACGGATTTAAAAAGCTTTGGCGCGTTCCATCATGTTCATCAATAGGGAAACATGGGGACATTTAATGGGCGGCCACTCATAAAATCCAGAGACCTAAACTACTCCATTTTTCTTCCATTGCCAACCAATTTCATTTTTTTCTTTGACTTCAATTCAACACATTACCGACAAAACTTTTAGCTCAGTTAAATATTTAAAAATGTAGGTTAACATAATAGAAAACCGTAGTTTAGTTGATGAGTGTGTCTGTGTTGTGTTTGAGTCCCTCGTCTCCTTAATTTGTCGGGTGGTACTAAACACAAAGAAATTCATAAGATTATAGGAATATATTTTGTTATGTTAAAAGGGTCGAATACGAAAGGAGGCAAAAATAAATACAATTAAGAATAATAATACTTATAAAATAAAATTTGGGGAAAAGAAGCAAATGGTAAAAAAAAAAAAAAATAGTAGAGTGGTTTTTGCAATTCATTTTTTCTTTTCTGGGTCCTCCCTTAGAAGGATAGATAGAGTTCATCCTCCTGTGGTCCAATGTAATTAGGATATTTGTCTAGAAAAATAAAAAAGTTCAAAGATGGGCATTAACCCATTTTGTACTGATTAAACCCTTTTTTTCTTTATTTATTTTTTTATTCTTTCCTTCTCATCTACCTCTCTCTCCACGGTGAAACAAATCATCTTTTAGCTCTAATATTATTGTATAGTCTCTTTTTTTTAACCATAATATTATTTTATAGCTATCATTTTTCTTTTCTTCTTTTTTTTTTTTTTTGCAAATTATTTACTTTTGATATACAATAGATGATTATTCAATGAAAATCAGTAAGAAAATCCCATTGTTTTGCTTCAATAATAAAAGTTTTGATCAACTCTATATCAATCAAGAAGGAGAGATGGTTTTTAATTTAGGGGATACTTTGGACTCGATCCATGTTTTTAATTTAGGGGATACTTTGGACTCAATCCATGTTGTATTTCTAGATTTGCAAAAAAATAAGGCCACTTAATAACTGACTAGAATATATGTGTAAACAATCTTGATTTAGAAAGAAAGCTGAATGAACAAATAAATGGAAAGAAAAAAAACGGTTTAACCTTTAAGAAATGGGTAATGCCCATCTTTAATTTTTTATTTATTTTTAAACAGGTATTCTAATTACCATAAGCCACATCAATTATATGGATGAACATCATCCTCCTAAGGAATGACCCAAAGTATTGTCAAATAAAAGTAAAAAATAAAAATAAAAACAAAAACGTTAATTATTTTCTCCTTTCACTTTTATTCTACCAAATCCACCATTAGGAAAATTTAAAAGTAGAAAAGGCAATCCATTTATTTCAACTTCAGGTCCATCTTAGAATAAGTTGATATCATGATGTCCAAATTTGAAGTCTAATAACCCAGAGAATATATCTATCCCAATAACATGAGCCAAAAATTGGGACAATTTTTGTGTTTTTTTTTTTTTTTTTTGTTTCCCAATCGCCCTTCTAAAAGCTGAAAATTGCAAATCCAAAATCAAATGTCCTATCCAATTTGTCGATAATACCAAACAGAGATTCAAAAATTGCTTACAACCAGCACATTTGATTGTCATGGATTGTCATATGTTGAACCCAAACTCATACTTTTCTTTTCCATATTCAGCAATTACATGCATATTACAAAAGCTTAACTTTAAAAAAGGAAAAAAATAAATAAATAAAATTTGACAAGTCATATAGAGATACACTTTGTATGATATTTCCTGGGTGAACCACACGGACTTGATACAATGGGTTGGGTGGTCACACTACCTGCAATCGATGCAGATATGACCAGGTAGCCACTCTCGATATTATTGAATGGCATTTCCACCAAAAATAAAAATACGTACATAAAAACTATATGAGGAAGCATGATCACTCCTGCGATGCACTGACATCCATCGATATGTCTTCAAGTTATAATTTATAATCACTTGCTTTGCCAATTTATAGTCGGATCCCTTGGTGAAGACATCCTTCCCTCCTACAAAGTGCAGTTTTAGTTTATCATGTTCCGATAAGTGCTGGAATAGGGAAAAAATCAACTGGCATGATTCGGACAAGCAAAAACATACATACATTTGCCTGGAGATGCAAAAAATCGTAATTTATCTCTCTGCCGATTCACAATTCGGTCCTTTGGAGATGACGTCTTTACTACACCTGCCTGCCGCATCATCTCTGCAATATGCAAGTTCGAATGTCATGGTCCAAAAAAGATTAAACATACTCGTAGTTGAGTAATCTTCACCATTGGTAATGGAGGCCAACGTACAAATCACGAAAATCTACACACTTTAGCAAGTAGAAACAGATGCATGTGAAAATTGGTTACTGCTTCCACACACTGAATTTTCATGCCAAGTGATAGAAACTGTCTAAAACTGCTTCCAATATCCAACTCATATAGTGATGAAAAATAATAGTGTCTTATAGAGAACAATGCACACCCCAGAATTGGCCATTCTATCCTTGCATTAATCTCGTATGAATGGCGTCGGCCAACTAAATTCTATCCAAGCTTTTCTATTATACGTCAATTCACCTACTATATTAATCTTTTTTAAAAATAATTTTTAATTACTTCATCCCATGTTATTTTTTGGCTACCCTATCCATCTATTACCATTTATTACAACTATTCTTTTTCGTTTGACCGGCACCTCACAGGTCTCCAATGTATATGACCGACCCATCTAAGTCTACTCTATCGAATTTTCTCAACAATGGATGCTACACCTATTTTTTTTTTTTTTTTTCTCACTTCCATTGGTGACCCTATCTCTTCTAGTCACTCTACTCATCCATCTTAACATTTTCCTCTCCGCTCAATACAACATAGTCAGTCTAATAACGGTCCTATAGAATTTTCCTTTTAGTCCGTGTTATTCTTTTATTACATAAAATCCCACTAGCTTGCCTCCATTTTATCCAACCCGCTCCAATTCTACTAGTTACATCACTTTCTATCTCTCCATCCTTCCTAATTATCGACCCTAGATGCCAAAAGTGGTTGTTTTGAGTAATCCTTTGGTTTGAAGTGCTATCATTATATTATCAATATCAATATCTTTATTAAATTTGCACTCCATTTACTGGTTTTAGTTCTACTAATCCTCACTAAAGCATTTCTCCCGTTTCTAATTTTATTGCTAGGTTCTCTTTAGAGATATTCAGAAGTATGATATCATCGACAAACATCATGCACCATGGAATCTCGTTTTGGAATATTTTATTATTTAATCTAAGATTATTGTGAATAGATATGGGCTTAGCACCAATCCTTGGTGCAATCCTACGTTTATGGAAAACGCAATAGTTTCACCACACATGGTACGCACTTTAGTTTTTGCATTCATGTACATATCTTGAGAGTTTTTATGAGTTGTAAGGGAATTTGTTTTCTTTGTAAGGCCCACCAAATTTTATCTTTTGGGACCCTATCATATGCTGTTTTCTAAACCTATAAAAATCATATGTAGGTCTTGTTGTTTACTCCTACATTCTTTAACTAATTGTCTTAGTAAGTATAAAGCTTCCATTGTTGATCTCCCGGGCATAAATCCAAATTGATTATCGGACACCGTGGATTCTTTCATTAATCTATGTTCTATTACCCTTTCCCATATTTTATTGTATGACTCATTAATTTAATTCCTCTAAATAGTTGCCACAATTTTGTATATCCCCTTTGTTTTTGTAAATTGGTACTATTTTACTTTTTCTCCACTCATTTGGCACCATGCCTTGCTTTAGGATGTTGTTAAATAACTTTGTTAGCCATTCAATTCTAAGTTTACTAATGTTCTATGGGTATATTATTCAAGCCTACCGCTTTATTACTCCCATCTTCTTAAGTGTGTCATCTACCTCCTTGTTGCTGATTTTATTTGTCATTCCTATGATATGTTCATTTCCTTCTACTTCTTCTCTAGGGTATTCCTCAATTAATAGATTTTGAAAATAATTCTTCCATCTAGTTAATACTCCCTCTGTCCCAAAAAAGATGTCACTTTTGGGGAACCGTTTCCCCAAAAGAGACATCTTTTTTGGGACAGAGGGAGTATATCAATTTCTTTAACTAAAATTGTGTTATCTATGTCCTTAATACATCTAATTTGGTTTAGGTCTTTAGTTATCTCAATTTTTGCTAATTTATAAATATTTTTCTGTGACCTAGTTTTTCATACAAGACATTCAGTAAGCTTTGTTTTTTTCCCCTAGTTCATTTAGCAAAGCTTTGTTTAGCTTTACTTGCTATCTTCTTTGTTTCACATTTGAGTTTGGTAAATGTGTCCAAGTCTTGTAATTTACTTTTTTCGCCATGTTTTAAATCTTTTTTTCTCTTTTGTTGCACTTTTCACTCCACCACCATGTCTCCTTCTTAATAAAGTTAAAAAAAACTTTACCCTTTTAGTTTCCGCCCACTCGTTCGCCTTCTTCTTAATATAATTTGTCATTTTGAGCCACAAGTTATTTACATCATCATTCTAATCCCATTGCCTTTCCCTTAAGACTAGTTCTTTAAATGTGGTCGCTTTACTGCCTTTTAATTCTTTCCACTTAATGTTTTTATGTCCCTTTCACTTTTTTATACTTGAACCCTTTAATTTATATGTCTAGAATTAGTATGCGGTGTTGATTTTTGAGGCTCTCCCCAAATATTACTTTACAATCTTTTACATGAGGTCCATTTATTTATTTTTGATAAGTACATGAGGCCCATTTATACAAGCAATAATCAATTTGTGTTTTACTTATTCTACTTTTAAATGTTATTAGATGGTCTCCTCTTTTTTAAAAGAAAGTGTTACGTATCACTAAGTTATATGCTTTTGCAAAGTCTAAAATTGTTTATCATAATTTATATCACATTACGCTCTCCAAAACCATATCCCCTATGGATTCGTGTATACCCTATCCTATCCACACCTACATGTCCATTAAAATCACCGCCTAGAAATATGACTTCATCATTAGGTATAGATTGTATAAATTCATATAACAAATCCCAAAAGAGTTTCTTTGTAGTGTCATCTAATGCTCCTTGAGGAGTGTACACACTTACATATTCAAGATATGTTCGTCTAAGACAATTTTAATAGTTATTAATCTATCTCCTTGTCTTCTCACCTCTACTACTTTATCGCTCATGTAATGAACTACTACTATGCCCACTCCATTTCGTTGGTTATCTTTCCCACCCGAGTAGAAAAGTTTATATCCTTCCCCGATCTCCCTAGCTTTTCCACCTTTCCATTTAGTCTCTTGTAAGCAAAAAATGTTTACTTTTCTTTGTTTTAAAGTATCCACTATTTCATTACACCAACCGGTTAATGTCCCTATGTTCCATGTTGCTATCCTAATTCTTTTTGAATTAGTTTTTTGTATTTTTTTTATTTGAGTGACAATTCATCAAAATGATTTTGACAATAAATTTTACACGATTGTCTACCTGACACTAACCCACCTCCTTTTCACATCCGGCCTTGGATACCACCAATGGGAGAGTCAAAAGAATTAGATTTATATCGTCGGATTAGTATTTCATCAAGATGTCAAAATCTAAACCTTCCATCACTATATTAATGCATGTATCATAAAAACAATTAAGCTATCCTAGGTAAAACACTAAAAACATGAACATGATGGCAAGCACACGCAATTAAAAGGAGGAGAAGAGGATATAGGGGATAAATTAATCAAAAGTTAGGGTGAATGATTATTCACAATAGAGTTATTCACAGGGGACGAGTGATAGAATAAGACAACAATATGCAATAAGATGAACAAAATGCACAAAGGTAAGGATTTAATGAGATGACAAGACGCACATAAATCAATATGATGCGGTAAATAAATTGCATGTGCAGATCAATGAAAAAAACAAATCCCCAAATTTTAGTATGTCATCTGTATATTGGCGTTCAAGCGATACAATGCCAAAGTTCAGATATCTATTGGATTGCAAGATGTATCCAATGAAAATCAGTGTTGAGGTGTATGTGTGTGGTGTGTGCAGTTGTGCAAAGATGGGTAGGAAGACTTATTTGGTACAAAAGTGACTTTTCAGTGGCGTCACTGCCGACCCAAAATCACCGGTGACCTTTGTGATTTTTCTCATTCCCTCTTCTCAGTCAACCTTCACTGATGATACCAAAAAACCACTACAAAAAATCTGAGTTGGTTTCAATTGAGCTATGTAAAATGAAGGATGGAGAATTTAGGGCTTGCTGAGGAAGTCCATCAGAAGAGAAATATAGGTTGGAATGGTTAGCTTAGGGTTTTTGGCAGTTTAAGAGGGGAGAATGGCGATGGTCACCTGTGGGAGGGAGGGGTTAGTGAGAGTCTTGATGGTGGTTGTGATATGTGTAGATGGTGGTCTGTGGTGGTTTATGACATGTCACGGTGGTGAGAAGTGTTTGATCACCCAAGCGACAGTCGAGATGATGGAGCTATTACGTTGCTGATGAAATCTTTGATCGGTCGGCGAGGGCTCAGATCGGATATAGGTTGGTATCAAAGATTTAGCATATTTGATCAGTCTTTGGCCAGCCGATGAGATATTTGACCATCGTAGAGAGAGAGAGAGAGAGAGCTTTCGTAGAGAGAGAGAGAGAATAAAATCAGAATTGACCATTCTAACAAATGGTGTGAAACAAATAGTGTACTCTCATATGACTCCAGCACCATACATACCAAATATGGGGCAAGAATGTTAATGAGCTCCTCGATCTCAGATTCTTACTCAGTTGACAACTAGATTGGCTCCTTTATTGAATTAATGAATTGAGGCCAGCATGAAGCACATTTATTAATGGAACCAAGCACAAATACGCCCAAGCTCCACTCAATTGGGCTCGTGAACATAAAGTACATAATGGTTCGTTTGTACATTCTCTAACATGCATGTCCCTCTTACCAGCTCTGGATTAGAAACCCGAAAGGCTGAACATTGTAATACAATAACATAATAGTAAGGAAATTTTTCCTCAATCGAAGAGATAGACAGAAAATAGAAACCAAATGCTTTCCAGCCACTTGATGCACTAAAGTGGGAGTCATGTAGGTCCCACTTCAATGCATCAAGTGGCAGGAAACCATTTCTATTTTCTTCCTCCCTTAGGTCTAAGCATCATTGCCCTAAGCATCATTGCCCTAATAGTACTACAGAAAAGGAAGGCATAAATCTGCAAAATGCAGTTCACGACTACACGGCAATCGTTTTTTCTTTATTTTATACATTTTTATTACAATGAACTGAAGTGACAACTATCTGCGTCAGTCACTTTGTTGTTACTTTTTATGTGCCGTTTTCGGGGATCAGTGGAGAAGTGGATGGAATGGGAGGAGAAGTGATGGAAGAGGCAATTGGGTGGAAGCGAAGAAATCCTTCCCTCCTTTATGATCCATTTGGCAGGAGGGATGGAAAAATAGATGGAAGAGGCATCCCCAAGGAAGGGAAGGAGTCCACTGGTGGGCCCGAAGGGATGCCTCATCCATCCTCCCATCCTTTCCCTCTTCCTCTCCTCTCCCCCAAATAGTGGAAACTTGCTCATTCCCCCCTCTTCCTTCCCTCCCAGTCCTTCCTCTTTCCGACCAAACATACTTTGTCTAGTTGAGCAGAAGGGAATGAAAAGGAAAACATCTTCCATTGTTTGGTAGAGTAAAATGAAAAAGGCTTAGAAATTTGTCTTACCACCATATCCCTCACTGCATAAAGTAATACACATGAAATGGTAAAATCTAATAAATGAGTGGTAGCATCTTTCCCATTATAGAAAATTTCATTCTTTCCTTCCCTTCTCCCTTCTGCCAAGTCGTGGACAAAAGCACACTTGTGACCATAGAGGGATGCCCCAATCATCCTGCCATCCTTTCCCTCTCGATCTCTTTCCCCTCTACCAAACAATGGAAGCATGTTCCTCCTACCAATCATAGCAATGTGTTTTGTCTTTCAACAATCAGAAACATGATGATTGTCCAAACAAAAGCTAGTCATATTTTTACAATGAGCCAGCTTGGCGTGCAAGCCACCCGAGCATGTGATGAGCTTAGCTCGAGCCAATGTCTCTTAAACTCAAGCAAGTTCAAGCGGAGGATGAACATTCTGCATGTTGGCCAAGCAGAGTGTACAGCCATATTCCTTATAGCAATATTCTACCGCACATTGCAACAATTCCTTACAGTCCCATCATCTTTCTAGAAAGCTGTTATAGATAGAGAGGAAGAAGTGCAATCCTGTGGTATATAAGAATCAGAACTGGTAGATATTTCTGGTTTCTAAAAGCAGGATAACCTAAGCCAATATGCAGCATGCAGAGAAAATCAGTTTGTAAGTTTAAATAGTAGTCTGATTGGTACAAATATAGGCTAAAGGAAAGGAAGGGGCATAGAGGAGGTAGAACAACTAGACAGGGAGAAATCCTGTTAAGTGAGACATATCTGAGACTACATATCCACAGCAATGGATCTAGGGGAATGCAATACATCAATCAAGAAATCTCACAGCTTGAAATAGTATGAGCTTTGAGGGTGATCCGGAAGACAACTCAATGTGAAAGACTCCTCTAGGTTCGTACCTTTATAGATCAATTCAATCACAGTGATAATTTCAGTATGAGTTCTGCTCTAGGAATAATATATCCATAAGAAGAATATAACACAATTACAAATATCCAGATACATGAAAATATATAATACTACAAGAAGAATATTGTTGTTGGTTGTTGTTGTATGTATATATATACACACAAAACAAATCAACAATATAATGATACAGTATAGATTTTGGAAAAAATGACAGTTGTCATAGAAGTTTGAATAAAAGTTTGGGAAGTGTTCATAGAGATACTGATGCATCATTTTGTGTCCAAATATTGCAAACAAATAAATATATTTGACAAAGAATCTGGTGTGCAAGGTACAAAACAGTGTTCACAGCTGACTATTTAGAAAACAACCCCCTATGATACCCATACAATTAAATTAGGGTCAAATACGAACACTTATATAATATAAATTCAAAATAAAATGAACAAACTAAACTACTCCAACAATGTTATATACCAAACCTTACGGTAGATTATATGAATGCATTCTTGAATATGCAAGTTAGTGAATTTACTTTCGATGTACTTGAGAAAAATAAAAATATTTGTTTTCGACGAGCAAATAGGCAATCATTTGTTGTACATACAGATATCTTTATGTTTTCTTTATTTTATTCATTAATAATACATGTACATGTATGACAAAAGATTTGTGTACAAAGGGAGAGCGCTCTCCTCTATCAGTTCATTACAACCACGTTGCATAGCCTAGGAGAAGTCTTTAGACTGCTATTGAATGAAGTACAAAAACATAAAATAAAAATAAAAAAAAAGGTCTGCAACTGTAGGGAATATATTGGGCTAATATCATGTGATACAATGCAATAATTCCATATTGGGCTCATATTTGTATGGTGTATGCAATGCATCCAGCAACGTATCATACAAAACAACCCCTATGATACCCATACAATTAAATAAGAGTCAAATATGGACACACATATACAAAATATAATCGTTTTGTGTCCAAATATTGCAAATGGATAAAAATATATTTGAAAAATAATCTGGTGTGTAAGACACAAAGAAGTGTTCACAGCTAACTATTAATAAAACAACCCCTATGATACCCATACAATTAAATAAGGGTTAAATATGAACACGTATATAAAATAAATTCAAAATTAGATGCCCAAACTAAACTACTAGAATAATGTTGTATAACCAACCTTACGGTTGATTATATGCACGCATTCTTGAATATACATGTTAGTGAATTTGCTTTCAATGTACTTGAGAAAAATAAAAATATTTGGTTTCGATGAGCAAATTTGCAATCATTTGTGGTACATACAGAAAACTTTATGTTTTCTTTATTTTATTTATTAATAATACATGTACATGTAAGACAAAAGGTTTGTGTTCAAAGGGAGATCTCTCTCTTCTATCAGCTCATTACAACCATATTGCAAAGCCCAGCAGAAGTCTTTGGACTGCTATTGAAGGAAGCACAAAAACATTAAAAAAGGTCTGCCACTGTAGGGAATATATTGGGCTATATCATGTGATACAATGTAATAATTCCATATTTTCTTAATAAATAAGTTGATCCAAAATATGTGTCTTATGTGTGTATGGTGTATGCAATGCATCCAGCGACATATCATAATATTTGCTTATAAATCCATGATATTGTTCCATTTTTAGAACGGAAGTAGATATTGCATCATAAATCACTCAATGATGCTATTTCAATGGATATTCGAAAATCGTGTTAAGCAGAATCCAGAAAGGTGCGACCTATGTTACAGAAACTCTTCCAAAATGCACAATGTACCCATGTCAGACACGCAACACTCAGACATGGGTATGGAATATGTATCCAATAAAAATGGTTACACATGCACCTATATCATTTTGAGTTTATTGTATAATTGTACATAAAAGTATTTTATTATATTCATATTGTTGCATTAGTTCTTTAAAATGAGGGAACATATTTTTCTACTTTAGAAAATAAACTGAAAGAATTTAAGGATTGAGTTCTTAAATGATTTACACTTCGAGGACCAAGAACCTAACAAGCTGGAGCAAGAATATACCATAGCAAGCCTCACAGAAGCACAAACAATCACATTTATAATTAATTTTTTACTGATTAGCAGGTTTAAAAAATAAAAACACTTGCCTCGTTTCCTTTCAAGCTCTTCATCAAGCTCTTCTTTCCATCTTCTTTGTCTCTCAGAGAAGCTTGCACTGTCAGCAGAACAAATTGACTCACAAGTTGCAAAAAAGGGAAAACAAATGCGATCCTTTAAAGGGACATAAATTAAGGCAAGCATCAGACATTAGTTCACAAACCTTGGACTAACTGGCTCCTGCTGTCCATCAAGAAGAATCTCTTTCCATTCACTACGCTGAGGTGACTGGACTTCCTGAGGAATTTGATCATTTACACCGCCAACATTTGATACACGTTTAGAATGGGACCCAGGGCTAGTAGAATAGACAAAATCAACAGCTGCAGAAAGTCTTCTGCTAGGCAGTCGTTTGGGTGACCTGCTTTTAGGAGGTAAGTGCAAATTATTCGTAAAATTTTCTTTGTTTTCGTTCCCATCAGCACTTGAAGGACCTGATGCATTCAGTGAGTTGTAGAACTCTTCATATAGAGGTGTTTGCAGCTTCTTCAAATCTAAAGCCTGAAGTAGTTTATGGAGTAAGTGAAAACATATAATTTCTATGCTATAGACATCTTAAGTATGGCATAATGTAGATTTAAATACAAGATCACCATAATCTCATAATTTGTTCATGTTAAGAAAGCATGTGGAAAGATAGTGATACCTTTTCATCAAGAAAGGCCCTAATTTTTGACTCGGTGACTTCATCATCATCCTCAGCTGCAACCGGGCCACTCGGAAATGTGAAGTCATTATCCCCATTACCAGATGCTTCAGTGCTGTCAGTAGCCTTATTAATTGTTTGACCAGAAAATAAGTTTGTTCTACTTCTCTCCAACTCTGGACTTTCATCAGACTTGCACGGCCAATCATCATTTGGCTCCAACATAGGGTTAAAACTCTGTTGTAAGCAAGTAAACTCTATCAGTTATTAATGGTTCTATGAACACAAACTTCATATTTATGGAAGCACATAAACGCAATTTATTACCTTATTTAGATCATCAGAAACTAAAGCAGAATTGAACTTTACAGATCCAACACCCAAAAGATCATCTTTATCATCTATCTGACACATGTCATCATCATCATAATTGCTTGATCCCCAAAGTGGTCCTCTTGCTGAGAACTTCTCGGGGTATGTAGTTGAGCACCTCAGACTGCCCATATTATGAAATTCCTTCAATTTTGTACCCGTTATCCTGGTATCAGGGTTCATGCTGCAATATCAATACATCTTCAAAAGTCATGATCTGAAACAGCTGAGAATAAGTCTCTTGAGAACATTCATAGCCATTATATGGAAACACTTACGAGTTCTTAATGTCCGTTGCAGGTGTTGCCATCTGATTTCCTGAAATGTCCTGATGATTGTAGGATTGATAAGATTGGCAAAAGAATATCAAAAAAAAAAAAGGTACAGCTACATTTCCAAACTAAGAATTGTTCATGCAATTATACTGACCACAACTGAAGTGCGAAATACAGGATGTGTTTCCTGATACTCCCCAGTAACAAATGGATGCTGAAAAAAAAGTAAAATTAAAATCAGTTTGGATATTTTAGTGTTTATATTGCCAAGAATTTTAGCACTAAGAAGAACTTCACAATGACAAAACATTGACAGAGAAAACAGCCTGCTGTACAGAAATACCTTCAGCAGATCTGACGCAACAGGCCTCAAGTTCGGTTCCCTGCCACCGCATTTTGTTCAGATTAGAGAAAGAAAAAAACTAGCTAAGATCTGAAGATTACAACCATGGACAAAAAAGCCCTTATTGGCTAACTCAAGGGCAAAAATAAAAACTAATAGAAGAAGAAAGAAAGAAATGAGGATAATAGGATCAAGAATGTACTTCTGTAAACATTTTAACAGAAAATCTTTTGCCTCAAAAGAGAGATGCTCAGGTATCGGTGGATGAGATTTAGTTGTTCCAATATGGAAAAGTGCAGCAACCTGAAGATAAAACTAATTTCTTAGTTCACAAACAAAGGGAATAACAGCAAACAGTTCCACAATGATAGTCAAGAGCAGAAGTTGATAGTTTAGTAGAAAGGAAACATAAAAAAGGTGTTTTTAGGTGTATACCTCCTGATACTGCTGGCTCCAAGGAGGTTTTCCAGTAGCCATCTCAATAACCGTACATCCAACACTCCATACATCAGCAGAGCTGAAAATTTTATATCACAATGGATTAGCATGAATGAGCTCAAAGAGTGCAAGAATACAGTGTATATATAAGTATTAGGTGAAAAGAGTGCAACATATACTTCACTAAAGAGGAAGAGGAACATGGTCCAAACTGGAGGGGCAAGGAGTACACATATAGTGCTATGTGTGTGTTTGAATGAACATAGCGCATGCAGCCATGCATATGCTGAGGAAAAACAGATATGCTCAGGCATTGAGGGTGATGTTAGGGCGAGAGACAAAAATCCATGTAACAAAATAGAGACAGAAAAACAAAACAAAACAAAAAAAAAAAAAAAAAAAAAAAAAAAAAAAAAAAAAAAAAGAAAAAAAAAATCTATGAGTGATTCAACAACAAATAAATGATATTCTATAAAAGCATAATAGTATTATAAAACAATAAATATCCTTAGAGAATTAATCTAACGCAAATGGTCAACCAATCATTAATTTCATTAAAAAAAATATATAGTGTTATTAAACAATAGAATCTAATAAATAAATCTCAACGCATTACAACAGAAATACTACAAATAAGTTATCATAAATAAAACAGAAAAAGTAAAAAACTAAACCACAAAATTAATCCGATACTGGAAAGAAAAAAGAAAAAGCACTTAAAACCTGTAAAAGCATGTTTTTTTTGGGTCCAACAATAGTAAACTTACATAAATTGAATCCATTGATAGTCTAGGGTTTCTTGACTTCCTCTTTATATTAGTCAAACAAAGACACTTCCTTCAACACATGTAGCAATGCTTGAAAAAAAAAAAATTGAAAATGAATTCACACGCAAGGCTTGAAAATTGAAAATGCTTCAAGATGAATGAATTCAAGCTTAGTTGAGTTTTTCTAAAGCATTTTAGAACCTTTTAATATTAAATATAGAACACATTTCACTTTTTTACATCACCAAATAGACCATCATGTTTTAAAAAAAAATTGATGGGGATTTTTTTTTTTTGGACAAGTAAATTGATGGGGATTAAATGACCACACGAGATCCTATGTGGCTATACCTCTAAGAAAAGATACGATAGCATATAAATTAATTGAAATTATGACTTTTAAACACATCCAAATCAAAAACAGAATTAATATAGCCAACCCTAAGCTTGGGCATTGCTGAATCTGTTCGAGTACAAGCATACACTGCATAAGAGTGTGGATACTAGGTATATTGCAGAGATATAAGTGTACACTGAAGAAGAGGGTGGATGACTTGATATATTTATCAAATTAAACATTAAAAAAAAATCATAACTAATTATGTGAATGATAAGAATCAGTAAAATTTATTCTGATCACTAAGTAAATACATGTTATATATGATTGCTTCAACAGCGAAGGATGTGATCCCTAAACCAAAATGAAGCATACATGCAGAAAATAATGCATTTCAAAACAAAATGAAGCATACATGCAGAAAAAAACTCAACTTTTCTGCAAAATTCAAACTAACTTAGATGCTCCATGTAATGGAGGGAAGAGTGAGAGGAAGTAAAGGGGGGAAGAAGAGATGGGATAGAGAGAATTCCCATCATTTGTTAACAAAGAAATGGGAAAGGAAAGGAAAGGAGGAGATGGAAACTTTCTCCTATGCCAACCGTTTTATGGCCACTCATAAGTGTGTAGAAAGGAGGGTAAGGAAAACCTTATATTTTAGGTTTTTACTCTTCAGATAGATCATTGTGCTAATATTTAAGGTTGTGAAAGTAATAATACTCCTTTCCTTCCTTTATCATTGCCTTCCTATTCAATAAAATAAAAGGAGAGAAAAAGCAGCTTCCATTTCTTAAGGACAAAAGTTTCATCCCTCCTACCTTCTGTTCCTTCAAAGAAACTTATCGCCTTTACTCAACAAGCAAGAAGGAATCCACAATGTCACTCTCCACTCAACAAGGTTCAAAAAATATGCCAATCTTGAGTTAACTTGTCCAAGTTAACCCAGGGCCATAGCCCACAATTATTACACCAATTCATGATACTACAGAAAGCTTGCTACACTAATAACACGGGAGATGAATAATTTGTATTTCACAATACTGGTTGTATCATCCCAGTATTGCGACACAACTCCTAGGTCACTGGTTTTCGACAAATCCAGTACCCTTTTTTTTATAAGACTGAATAAAAGCGTTCAAAAGGGGAACGCATCCCTCAAATGACACACAAGGCCAAACAGGACCTCTAAACACTCAAAGAGCCCAAAATATCAACAATTTCCTCCATAGATTACAGTTTCTCCCTAGAACCCAACAAAAAAGGGTGCTAATAATAGAGAACTTAAAAGTCCCAATAGGAGCCTCCTTTCCTTCAAAAGATCTCCTATTTCTCTCTAACCATAAGAACCACCAAAGGCATAAGGGCGCAACCCTGCAATAATCACGGGCTTGGGCCCCACCATACACCCTCTCTAAGCCTCCACCAAAGCTCTAGGGGACCTTGGCATGATCCAATGAACCCCAAACAACCCCAATAATAAGCCCCTGCTATCCCGAGCCACAAGGCAATGCAGGAGAAGATGATTCACCGTCTCCTCACAACAACCTATCTCCTCTTCATATTACTCAAAGTCAAAATGCTCCCCAACACAGTTGTCCACACAAAAAACACCACCTTGAGGGGGGACTTCGAACGCCAAACCGCTTTCCACAGGAAAGGAACCCCTAGAGCATCTATGAAGCGTCTATGAAGAGACCGGACATCAAATCGACCCTGGGAAAAGGGAACCCACGCCCGATGGTCAACACCAACACCCACCACCTCCTGACGGTACAAAAGCTCCAAGAGCCCAATGGCCTCCTCCAACTCCCAATCTTGAAAGCACCTCGAAAAAAGCACGTCCCAAGTCAATCTCCCGCTAGCAAGCCGATAGCCGTCACAAACCAAAGCATGCCTATCCGTAGCAATCTAGAAGAACCTGGGGAAAGAGGATGCAAGAGAACGATCCCCACACCAAATGTCCTCCCAAAATCTGCCACCCCTACTATCCCTAACTTGGAATCTGATGTGTTTAGAAAATTCATCCCACCCCTTCTGAATGAATTTCCAAACCCCAACTCCACCTGGCACTTTCACCTCATGAGAGCACCATCCACCTCTCTCTTACAATCAATCTCCTCCACAGTCTATCTCTCTCCACACCAAACCTCCCTAACCAGTTCCCCAACAGAGCCTTATTAAAGGGCTCCAACCTTCTTATACACAGACCAATCAATTTTGTTAACCAAGACAAGCCACCTTCTCCTAGACACTTCCAAACCTCAATAAGAATGCCATCAGGTCCTGAAGCCCTTCCCAATTTCATCTTCATTAAGGCATTTCTAACCTCCTACTCCTTGACCCTACGGAAAATTATGTTATCTCTAAGGTCATTGTATTTTTCTAAGCCTAAACTTCCTATATGGTTTTCATTTACAAGTTTCTCAAAATAACTTTACCGTCTCTCTTTAACTTCATCATCTTTTACTAAAACCCGTTGATCTTCACTATTAATGCATTTAACATGGCTAAAATCTCTAGTTTTCCTCTCCTTTAGTTTAGCAAGTCTATATATATTCTTCTCACCATCTTTGATGCCTAGTTTAGAATAAATATTGTCATATGCTCTATGTTTTGCTTCACTCACTACTTTCTTAATTTCTTTGTTTATTTTTTTTATATTTTTGAAGGTTTCACTATTTTTAGTTTTTTGCCAAACTTTATAGCATTCCCATTTTGTTTTTATGACTTTTTGGACTTGTTCATTCCACCATCAAGTTTCTTTAAATAATAGTCTTTTTCTTTCTTATTCCCCTAGGATTTCTTTTGCTACTCTTTTAATATATGTAGTCACCTTAATCTACATTAAGTTTGTTTCATCTTCTATGTTCCATGTTGCCTCTTTTAACATCCTACTTATCAAAAAAAAAAAAAAATGTTGCTTCTTTTAACATTCTGTTATTAAATAATTCTACTTTCTCCCCTCTTAAATTCCACCACCCAGTCCTTGGGTTTATTATTCTCTTTCTCCTTTCAGTTTGTCCTTTTATATGTAAATCTAAGACAAAAATCCTATGTTGTGATGTTAAACTCTCTCCAGGAATAACCTTACAATCTTTGCTTGTTAATTTTCTAGTTAAAAGGTAATCGGTTTGACTCATATTTGATCCGCTTTTAAAGTTTATTAAGTCTCTTTTTAAAGTAGGTATTCCTAATTATAAGATTATATGCTACCGCAAAATCTAAGCCTCCCCGACATCATTTCTATCTCCAAATCCATGTCCATCATATACCATCTCATATCCTCAACACCCTTTACCTTCATGGCCATTAAAGTCCCCTCCTATATACACTTTTTCTTCTTCCGGTATCCTGAGAATCAATTTGCCCATATGTTTCCAAAATTGTGTTTTAATATTTTCATCTAGTCCTACTTGGAGTGCATAAGCACTAACTATATTAACTATATTTCCTCCTAATACAAATTATACTAGTATTAACTGATCTTTTCTAATAACGGTTATCACATCTTTTAAATTCTTATCAAAGATTATCCCCACTCCATTCCTACGTCGATTCTTACCAATGATTATTCCCACTCCATTTCTAAGTCTAGGACTAAGCATACAAGCACCAAACATGTAGGCATCAAAGTCAATAACATGAAATAAAAATTCAATAAACATGAAATAAATAACAAAGGTTGGAGTAATTGGGTTTTTTGGGTCATATTTCTTGTGGTGGTGGTTGTTGGGGGGAGAACAAAGAGGTACTTTTCCGTACTTCGTGAATTCGATTAGGTAGATAATGCAATTGTAGACTTGGGTGCTGTTTGATAAAATTGAAAATTAAGTATGGAAAAGTTTAAGAGATGAATTTTTTTTTTTTGATAAGTAATAATTGAATTAAAAAAAGGCATTCAAGAGGGGAACGCATCCCTTATACAAAAGTGGAACCAGGGTTTTAAGGCCCCAAAGAATCCAAAAAAATGATAAA